ACTTCAGACTCTGCTCCTTTTGGACCATGTTACAAACTCTCACCTTGCCCTGGCATGGCTGATGATTGTTGTTGTATCACTAATCTCCTGCTGTATTGCTTATTGCTGTGTCTTGTCAAGCTCATCTCCATTTGGCTTAAAAAATCATTGTGAAGCCAAGATTCTCTTTTGTTGGGATGACCTTTGCTAACGAGGTCCCTGAATGAGCTCTTTTGTATCATTAGAGCTGGCTGGGGAATAAAGGACCTTGTACTTCACTGCAGCCTATTTGTTTTCCACTGTTTCTTTTATCAGCACTAGGGTCCCCAACCCTGGTGTGTCCTACTCTCATTACCCAGAAAAATGTGCAGGAACCACTTTATTGTGCTCTGGTGGTGGAGGAAATGGATGGGGGTCTTGAAAGTACCTTTGCTCTGTAAAGGAAGTACTCTGTCTCAGTGCTCTGCATGTGTGCGTGCAGCATGGGTTCTAATTGCTTACTGGATGGGTCAATTTATCTTTCAGTGTTCATTACCCGTAATAAATTAATGCTTAGGACTGGCTGGTGGAATTTGCACTTAAAGAAAAGAACAATCAAGGACTTCTTCCTCTGTGTCCATTATTAAGCTGTTTATATACCCTTAAAGATTTTTTTCTTTCAAGTCCCTTCTCCATTTGCCATAAAAATATATTGATAAAACAGTGCATTGCATTTTGGGGTTGTATGTAAAAATCAGGGCATGTGCTTATACCAGAGATGAGGCCTGAGGCTGATATGCAGTTGTCTGGGGTTTATAAATAAGCACAACTATGTAAAATTGGAGCAGATGAAATGGAGCAAATGTGCAGCCAGTGGGTAGCTGGGTAATCAGCTGTAAAGTCTCTTCCACCAAGAGAGTGATGGGTCTTCCTTTTGTCTCTGCTCCTCCTCCCTGTCTGTTGCAACCAAAAATCAATTAAAGAAGGGTGTAGGCTCTCCAAACTTCTTGATTTTGTGCAGAGATGCTTAGAATTCTCAGTAAAAATTGTCTTTCCCGGTAAGACAACTGGAAGCACTGGGTTGACTGTGTCAGAAGCCAGCCTTGAGATGGTGGATGAACAGGAAGATGAGTCCCCAGCCCCAGGGGGACCCTGATGTGCAGGCGTGTATTATTAAATGGAAGAAGTAGGATGAGAAGAAGGAGATGGCAATGGAAAATCTTAATTTAACATCTGAACTAAAAAAAGTAGAAAGCATCTGTGTCAGTCTCTTCTGAACCTTCCCTAACCCAAAGCAATTTCTGTTGCTATTAATATCATTTTATATGCGGTTGGAACTTCGCTGTTTCTCTGCACTAAGTGCATGTGGTTGGGGGTTTTTCCTCATCGTCTTCTTGTGGCTCACTGTTCATTATGTTCATTCAGCTGTCTTCAGAGAGTCTCCTGAGACTTTCTAATGTGGAGTGATGTAACATTCTCTCCATGTTCTCCACAGCTCAGAGCATGTTCAGTGCTAAATGGCTCAGATCAGGATCTTGTGTGAGCGTTCCACAGAACTGTGACTTCCAACAAGGATCCTTTTGGATGTGGTTAAATAAGTAATGGTTACAAATACCAATCAAACATTGGACTAAATAATGGATATTCTGAATAGCCTGTGATCTTCCCTCTTCTGTCCTCCCTGTTTTGTTTGCATAGAAGTGTATTCTGTATAAATGTGATCCCAACCAATTTAGGCCATGTAACGTTTGCAGCATCACTCTCACTGGGGTTCTGGGAGGATTTGTAGGTCAGCTCTGGGGAAATATGTATGAGGTTCACGAGCAGGACAGGATGTGCTGGGTACAAGAAATGCTAAACCAAGTGCTAGTACATGTCTGTGCATGTAAGGGTAGCTACTCCTTACTTACAACAAATGAACTTTACTCAAAGAGCAGCCTGTTCCTGAGAAAAGTAAATGCCCGTTTTTCTAGAGTGGGTGCTTTTTCACTGGCATCTCCACTTGAGTTGTATGGATGAGAGCCATAAGCCTGCACAAATGGATGTTTCCAGTAGGGACCACCCAGAAGCTCTCTAGCCATGGACTGTCCTCAGCCTGTGCTGTCTTTCTCCTTAAGTATGTTATACTGAAGTGAGGGTGCAAGAAAGCATTTCCTAAACCCTCTTTTCTCCTGGAATGGTAATAGGAGATCAGAATATATAAAAAAAACAGAACTGAGATTTTTGTTTGTTTGTTTGCTTTTTCCTGTGTAAAGACTTTCTTAACATCCCACCTCCACAAAATTAACTTATTTAAAAAACCATACATTTGTAGCTGAGGCTTGTGTGTAGTTGATACTGCCAGAGTATTTTTGGAAAGTTGCTAATTCTGAGCACACAAGCTTAAAGTTTATGTCAAGAAGGTACAGGACAATGCACAGACTGTTCCTGAAACATCAAAGCTCCACATACTATTCCTTGAGTTTGTCACCATAGCTTAGGTTGAGAGCTTATGCTCTTTTATGACACCTACACATTTTGATGCCATACCGTATGTTTTTGGTCTGTCTTGTTTGTTGGGGTGTGTGGTGTATCCTTTCCCTTCCCCATTAGAAACTCAAGCTGTTCACTTCAACTGGTTTTGATATAGTGCCACCTGAAACATGAAGAAAGTGTTGTGTTTGTGGATTTTGGCCAGAAACCATAGAGTAAACATCTTTATCCTCTCCAGGCTGCTGGTGCACTGGTGTCTTGCCAAGCAGCTCAACGAATGCCACCAGCAATTCTGGGCTTGAAATGCTCAAATGCCTCTTCCTTCTCCATCATCAGAGGAATGGGGCAGCTCCAGCCAGTTCTCATCCACAAAAACAGGCAGCTTCAACTGTGTACTAGACCTGTCCTCTCACACACTTTCTTCATGCAGCAGATAACCTGGGAAGAATTTTATGGTTCTGTAAACACAAATAATGATTTTAAATTTTTCTTTAAAACACATCCATTTCATGGCATCCAAAGCAATGGGCTATTCTCAAATTAGCAGCTTCTCGTATTTGTGGTGCAACTGGTAATGTTTTTTTCCTTTAAGATGAAATTTCTCTGCAGCAAAAGCATTAATAGCTATGTGAAAAGATTTCTAATTATAAATTTTGCCTCAATTACTAATTAAGTCTATTGTCAGACTGAACAACTTCTTTTAAACAAATTATGGACCAAAATATCTCTTTTGTAAGTAGTTTTTTATTACTTAGTGATTTTATTGCTTTTGTATAGGTTATCTTCTCATGAAACAGCCGAGTTTGAACCACAATAGAGATGCTGCTGCATTTCAATCTGAACAAGATCTGTGGCATTAGGCTGAAACCCAGTTATCCTCCTCCACACAGAGTTAGGGCCCCCAGGTCTGTAAAAATTTCCTGCTGGCACATTCAGATGTGTTTAGTTCCTCTTGATTTATCCTGATTTCTCTCCTAAGGAAACAAGCAAGGTTAATGCTGCCTCTCCATGAGCTTCCTTCTAAATCTACGAGCTCTTGGCTACTTTCAGACAAATCTAGTAGCAGTTTCAACCATGACTAGACCCTCATACAAAAATGTAGATGCCTTTTGTGCCTTAGTCCATGCTCGTCTGGATCTCTTGTCACTGTTTGTGGGTATAATCTTGCTGTTATAGATGACAGTAGTTCTCAAGGGAATAGGGTGACTATGGAGAATGCTGCCATGAGCTGGTTGGCACAGTTTGCATTTCACAGCTTGGCTGAGAAGGGGACCTGCACAGTGTTGGGGGCAGGGTCTGACCCTGTGCACACCCTTACAGCCCCATGGCCAAGGCATTGGCATACCCTGCATGCTCTGGATCTTCAGCACAAATCAGCCAACTTTTCCATTTTAATAGTAAAGGAAGGAGACACTGGTGTACTGCATTTCTTCCTAGGCCAGTGCCCTTTCCCCACCCACAGTGCAGGGCCAGCAGTTTCGAGGGAAGCCAGGCAGCACCTTGTCCTGGAGGGCCAAACTCCCCGTGACCAGCTGGGGGCCAGCACCGCTCCCAAAGACTCCTCTCGCCAAAATCTCAACACAGGACTGGCATGCCTTTAGCCCCTCCTGATTCCTCCGCTCTTCCTAAGACAGGGTTCAACCGAGTTTTCAGCAAACGCTGTAGGGAGGACACAAGACTGCAGCCTCATATTCCCTTACGAGCACCGTGTGTGTGTGTTTGGGAGGCAGTGCAATGCTTTGACAGCAGCTTGACATTGCCTTGAAAGGTGCTGGAGGCTCTGCAAGCACTTGCCAAGAGGGGGTGGGGGAGAGGAAAGTGTGTCAGGCAACACTGCAGTCGCAGCCTCCTCTCGTGCTCAGCCCCGCTGCTGCTGCAGCTGCGGCTCGGGGGCTGCTGCGCGGCTCCGCTGCCGGCCAAGTTCTGGCGCTGAGTGCGGCGCGGGGGCAGCGCTGCCTCCGCCGCAGCACCGCCTGCCCGCCCTCCTCCCGTCTATGGCTTCTGTCATTCCCCCACCCCCCGCCTGAAATGCCCGTGAAAGCCACCGAGGGGCTCGGGCGGGAAGGGGCCAGCACATCTCCATGGGATGATGCCCGCTCTCCGCCGGCGGGGCGCGGGGTGGAATTCCGCCGGGAATGAAGTGCTCGCTCGACATTTGCTGCATCTGCCGGAGCGTCAGGGTTCAGTGGCTGCCTCCCCTTCAAGCAGCTGTTCCGGTTAATCACTGCGCTTCCAACTTTTGCTTGGCAATGCCTGATGGCCAGTGGAGCCGAGAGAACTAGCACGGGAATTTTAGGACCTCATAGAAAAACCCCCATACCCCTCATTTTCCTATTTCTACACAGGACTGGCGAGCCGCACGTTAAACAACCGTGTAAAGATATTTCTTCCTAAAGGATTGCCACATTTCTGAGTCCTCGCAAACTGGAGAGCCCCGGACGATTTGTGTTCGATCGCGCTGCCGGGAAGTGCGGGAGCCGCGTGTGCGCTGCAGCCGCGCTCGGCGGTGGGAGGCAGCCCGGGCTGCCGGGGAAGGGATTCCAGCGCAGGCAGGGACAGAGAACGGAGCGGCTCTTGCAATTTGTTGAATGATTTGATAGATAACAGCAGACATGCTTTGTGGACTGAAAAAGGATTTGCAGTCAGACTTTGGTGAGTGAACCTTGTCTGTAATTTTTTTTTTGCCCTTGTCCAGTAGTTTACTTTTGTTTCATTTGATTTTCTTTAAGCATCTTGAATATCATTGACAGTTTCATGTGCTACTTTCAAAGTGGTTTTACAAATCCAGACCGTTGCATGCAAACTTAATTGCTTTGATTTGTGGAATATATCTTTGCTTCTCTGTAAAGAATTTCTCCCTGTGACCACTGGAGAAGGCACAGGCTGCCTTCTCCTTCTCCACCTGGAAGATTGGCAGTCACGGGGGCTGTTCTTATGGCACCTCAGATACTGTGGAGCCTTTACAGCTGTTCTGTTTTTTGTTAAAAAAAAAATCATCTAAATGCAGCTCCCTGTTTTCCAGAATCAGCGTGTGAGTGGTCTGGGCGTTCGGCAGTGGTGATTAGGGGGCTGGGAATGAAGATGGGAAAAGAGACTCTGCTGAATGTGGTGGGGTCACTGCCATTGCCCCCCTCTCTTGTATAATCCACTAGTACCTTGTCTAATAAATATTTCAGGTTCTGCTAGAAATCTGCTATTTCAATGAGCTCCTAACCCCTGTTTTAGATACCTGGGGTGAGCAGTTCACTATTTCTGTGGAGTATAAAAAATCTATTTCATTTCTGCAAAAGAGTAGGCAGATGAGTGTAGAAGGGCACCTTTACAAAGGGCAGACATCAAGTTCTGGCCCCAGTCTTCCCAGGATGGACAGGCTCTTATATTTCTAACTGAGTGCAATATTCAGGTACTTTGTTGCATGCTGTAGCTCTGCTTGTTGCAGCTGAATGTGCTGCATGGAGCTTGTCTTCCACCCTGATGCAAGCATTTCCCTTCTGGAAGCAAAGACGTTGGAGTTGGAAGTACAGAGGTAATTTATGGTTTCTGAATCATTTTGCGCTGCCTGAAGCGATGTAGTGAGACTGACTTCGTCCTCTCCTTGGCATCAAGATGCCCCAAAGCATGAACCTAACTTTAGAAAATTGTTTTCTCTCCCTAAATCTGAGGGTAAGATGAACCAGGTGGAAAGCATCTTATCCTGGCTATGTTGCCTAATCCCATGGGTGGTGACTGGAGGCAATATCCACCTACTTTAGCAGCACAGCAAGAAGCATTTTGGGGGCTTCATTTGAAGCTGCCAGAGACACATTGATGAGTCCTGATAGGCTAAGAGAGTCTGGGTGTGTGACTTAACAGGGCAGGAATGCACTTGTTCCATGGAAAGATCAAAAGACAACTTGGCAGAATCTCACAGTTCTTTTGGGGCTGAGCCAGGAGCTGGGTCCTGGTTTAGAGGTGGCTGACACTGCGTGTGCTGGAGGGGTCTCCTTGATGCCACCAGCCACAGAAGGGGTCATTTGTGAAGCTCTTCCAACATGACACCAGAGACATCTGGTGCCTCAAGATGGCTGTGTTGTTGTAAATGATGATGTTGTCTGGGTGCTGGGTGATCGAATGAGAAATTTTCCTGATGTCAGCCCCAAACATTTCTTGAGAATCTTGAGCCAGTGTTGTGTCACGTACAAGGGAATGCTGCAGTCACTGTGTGGGTAAGGAAGTCTTTTTTACCCTGGTGTCAGACCCTCACAGCTTACACTTGTGGTGCTCCTGAGGACCAAGCCCATGGCTTTCATGGGATGCTTTCTGGAAATTCAGAATGGAAGCAATGAAGGGAATGACTATCTTATCACTCATTTTAGCATTTTAAGTGGAATAGGCAAAACGAAATGGATTGTTTCAAAGAAGCACACAAACATTTCAGAAGTGCTTCTTGGGCCCACCACCATTAGGGTATTAGTGATTTCTTTCCTTCAGTAGTTTTCAGAAGTTTTTTGATGGGATGTTTTAATAATAGAGAGATTTTGTGTGTCCTTCAGAACGGAAGGGCAGAAAATGCAAAGTAGCAGTGATATTTTATGGGAGGTGGTGTTTATTTTCTATTTAAAGTGGGTGGTTCTGCTGATAGCAGGGTGATCGTGTTTCCACAAGAGTCTTTGTAATCCTGCTGTTGGAGGACTGAACAGGAATCCTTTATGGCCTTTCTGAAGTCCAGGAACATCCTCTATGTTTTGTTCTAACAAACTTCACATTCAGTTAGTCCTTACTGCAAGGATCATTGCAGGAATGGGCAGAAGAACAGAACTCACTGAATCTCCTTCATGCTGCTCCAAGTGAACCACTGAAGGTCCCATCCCAAACCAGCTCACATCAAATGTTAATTGAGGATAACACAGACAACTTCAGAAGACCATTTCATTTGTCTTTCAGATGTATCCATTTGGGTGACTTAATTATTTTTGATTTTTAAAAATACAATTTGTATAGACGTCAAAGGAAGAATAACAATAGTAGATGAGTGTGGATATTCAGTGCTTTTCTGTTTGGGTTTGTTGTTTGTTTTTAGGTGTGGGTTTTTTTGTTGCCATTAGAAGCCATGCTTTTATCATGACTCTCTGCAGTCGAAGGAGAACAGTATTTCCTGTGGTTTTTCCAGACTAGCAAACTGCACCCTTTATTGCAGGGTGGGAATGGCCAGAACCAGAGACCTGTTAATATATCTCTGCCCCTTCCTGCTGAGGGATCAGCTCCCCTGTTCTCTTTCTGCTTGCCAAATAAGCAGGGGGAAGAATAGAGAAAAACATGCCTGAAAGGGATAGAAAACTAATGTGAGGAGCTAGAATAAGACAGGAGGAAATCTTCATAGATAAATCTCAGGAAGAAAGATTTTATCTTTCTTATTGAAGAATTCATCACAATAGTGCTATTTAATATAAGTCCTGCTCATCAGGCTGCTTACGTCACTTGTCAGCTTTGCCTCAGTTGCAGCCTAATGAAAGATGAAGAGAAAAACTAACTGATGTGTGTGTACCAAGACAAATATCTCTGGGTCTGAATCATTGATCTTAATTTCCTTGAGCCAAAACTGGGCAGAGAGTTTGTGCTATTCCTCTGCCTTGAGACAGTATTGGCCATACCTGTGATATCATCCGTCCACGTTGCATTTTAATATATCCAATCTGGGAACACCACATCAGCTCAAATTAATTCAGTACTCTGAAATATTAAGGAAAAGCTTTGCTTATTTGTAATTTTGGTGCCTTTGCATTCTGTCCTAACACAGATGACAGATTATTCCTTTCCCTCTGTGCATCACACGCCTGAATATCTGAAGAGAGTAATAATACTTTTTTTCCTCCTCCCTCTTCTTTTTAGCATAGACAACTCATCTCTCCCCCCAGTCTCAGAAGTTGTGATCTTTCAGATCCAGCCTGCACCGATTCAACCTGCTGGGCCACATCGTTGTTGATGAGCTGTGGTACCCAAACCTGGGGTCTGCATTCAAGCCAAGGCTTTTACCAGTGCTGAGTAAAATGAAAGGATGATTTCACAGATTTTTTAGACTATGCCCACCTTGCTTGTAGCAGGGTGTTAGCTCTTCTTGCATATGACATGGTGCTGTGGATTTACATTTGGTTTGCAGCCCACAGTATCTGAAGAGTCCTTGCTGTCACTTTGATAGTTTTTCCCCATCCTTCATTCATTAGATTGTTCTTGCCTGGATCTGGTAGCTTGCATGCCCCTCTACCAAATTGTACATCTGTCTTTTAAAACATGTATGAGTCATTCTGGGTTCAAAATTTACTTCCCAGCCTGCTTCCAGTCCCTCATGCCTTGTGGCTGTCAGTAAACTTAATAAGATCAATCTCTCTGCAGCCATCCAGGTCATTTAGTGAAAACTTGGAGCTGTACCAGGCTGGTGGAAGGTCCCCACAGAACTTCATTTAATACATCTTTCCCTCCTGATTGTGAACAACTGATGAATTTTCTCAGTGTGTGGTTTTCCAATCAGTTTTGCATACACTTCATAATCATCTGTATCCTGCTTCCCAAACATACTCACAAAAATAGCACGTGAAACAGTGTCAGAAGCGTTTCTAAAATTGAGATATAGCAACTTGCATTTTCTATCTATCCAGAAATGTTACTCTCATATGGAAAGCAATTGAGTGGGCATGACTTATTTGTGGTAGATCCAGGTTTGCAGTTAGTCCTCATTTGGTGTTAACAGCTCACACACAGATAGTCAGCTCCAGGAACTGAAAGAGAGGGTGATGGATTTGTCATTCCCTCGCCCCCACTCTGGTAGCATGTTGTTTTGGTTTGTTTTTTTTAAGGTGAACATTGCATTTTATTCTTCAGCTTTGTGATATCTTACCCCTCCTCCTTAGGTTCTCACAGATATCTCCTGATGGCTTTAGGACTTTGGTGACCAAGTCTCTAAAGTTTTGTTGACTGAACTTTTAAGTATAAATAAGCTGATCTGTGCAGTCAAACTGAATTCTCGCTCTTTTCTAGAGATGACCCATTCCACTGAAATTGCTCTTTTATGGAAGAAAACAGATGAAAATAATGTCCTATGGCTTTTCATGGAGTATAGAAATAATTTTTTTTTAATTCCGTTTTTCTCCTCCAGTGTGGAGGTTACTGAGTTTTCCTCTCAAAAAAGCTTGTGTTCAAGCACATGTTATTACTACAGATTTGTTAAGAGAAGGATGTTTTACAGTGCAAAGGCCAGGGAGATTTGATACAAATGTTGATACAAATGTTGGTCCACAGTTCAATTGAACAATTGCTACAGAGGTTTTCTCTCCAGTGTTAAATGTTGGAGTCCAGTTTCCAGCCCAGGCATTGACTTCCCTGCCACCCTGCTTAAGAAAATTTCATTGCCACTGGAAGTGGTTCACTCTGGTTAGAGTGACCCATAGAAGGGGACTGAGTTTCATGTGGTGTGTTCAGTCTTGCTTTTGGCTTTATATCCAGGATAATTTTTCTTTATAATATTTGTTCTGTTTTATTAATCCATTGAAGCCAAGGGTAACTGCACTGCCAAAGTGTTTGCATATGTTAGGGCATATAGGATTTGATTTCTTTTGGAAACTCACTGTTAAATGCCAATGTTTCCTACTTGTGATACTATCCACCTAACTCAAGGATGG